CTGCCCTGTGGAACGCCGGCTCTGATGGTTTTAGTTGCGGACTCGGCGTCCTCTACGCAGACGTAGAACTTCCTGTCTTCCAGGAAAGACGCCATTAACCGCAACATAGCAAGAGGGACACTGGTCTGTTCTTTCAGCTTATATAGCAGTCCTGTGTGCCACACCCGGTCGAACGCCTTCTCGATATCGAGAAAGACGCCCAACGATATGCGGCCACGATTGTACTCTGCCGCAAGCAGGTGCAGCACTCTGGTCAATTGTGTGACTGTAGAGTGTCCCCTCCTGAATCCGTGCTGCTCCGCCCGAAGTTGGATGCACGGACGGAGACGTCTTAGCAGCAATCTTTCGAACAGTTTAGCTATGTGTGGTAATAGCGTGATCGGCCTGTAGCTGGCAGCTCTACGCCTGTCCTTCCCGGGTTTCGGCAAGACGATGATTTTGCCTGTTTTCCATATCTCCGGGAAGTGGGATGTCCGCAATATCCCATTGTAGAGTCGACCAAGCTCTACTATGACTCTATTGGGCAGCTGTCGGAGTGCAGCGTTGGTAATCCCGTCGTGCCCCGGCGCCTTCCTCGGTTGCAGGCGGGTTACTGTCCTCCGCAGTTCAGCGGGGGGAGATGAACCACTCTCCTGCAAGAGGCGGCGCGGGCGACGACAGGAACTCCTGTACGCGACTTTCCTTCCGGGCATGAAGCTCCATGAACTCCGCACTTGCTGGGTTCGGCATAAATTGCTCCTCGAAGTGCTCGACTAGGATATCCGCTCTGCCCTTGGCATCGTAGCTGCGTTTGCCTGCGTTGTTGATCAGCGGGCAAACGGGAGGTTTGGTTCTAGTTAACTGCCGGTTCAGTTTATAGAGCGACGCATCTTGCTCCTCTGCCTTCCTGATGCGCCGATCCCAAGCGTCGCCTCTGAAGGCCTGGACTGCAACCGACAGTTCCTCCGAGATGGTGTTGAGCTGGGTCTTTAATCTAGGGCAGCGAGTACGCGCCCAGAGCTTTCTCAACGCTCTCTTGCGCCTGATCTGCACGCATATGTTAAGCGGCAGATCGTCTCGCCTGGCTGTGATCGGGACGATCGTAGAGGCCGCGTGAAGGGCCTCCTTGATGTTATTAGTGATTCTGGTTGCAGCGGCCTCTACGTCGTCCGCTGTGCTTATCGGCTGGTGTGCTGGAGGTCTCTGCTGCAGGTGTTGGCAGTAGAGCCTCCAGTCGACACGTGTCTTAAACGCTCTGGGCGGCGTAGTCACCGCCTTCAGGCCAAGGGTTATCAGTAACGGGAGGTGCTGTGAAGGTAGGTCGTACAGCACTTCTACCACTATCGGATAGTTGACGTTCCTAGTGAGCACGATGTCTAATACATCCGGATGCCTCTTTGGGTCAGTAGGAACGTGAGTTGGTTCCTCGGGACCTAGAACGTCGTACTGGTTCTTTTCAGCGTCTTCATATAGTTCACGACCCGGCGGGGTGATCACTCTGGACCCCCACGCCGGGTGTTTGGCGTTCAGGTCCCCGGCGATGATTACAGGTGCATCGCCTTCCATCACTGTCCGGATGTCTGAGGAGCAGAATGGAGTCCCTGGCGGGCGGTATGCTGCATATATCCTTAGTTCCTCGCCCGCCGCCTCCATTCTTATACCGATTGAGCGCATTGTCTGGAAGGATGGTAGTTCCAGCTCTTGATGGACGATGTCCCTCCTCACTAGAACCGCCGTCCCTCTATAGGCGGCCCCTTGAGAAGTGACCTCGTCCCTTCTGTAGATGTGGTAATTTGGCAGCTTTATGCGCGTTTTTGGATTTAATATTGTTTCGCCCAGCAGTATAATATGTATATCCTGTTGCTGGGCGACTGTGCGGAGTTCATGCAGCTTCTGCTGTATTCCGTCCGGGTTCCAATAGAGGAGGCGCAGATTACTCTCCTCCATAGTGCCGGGCTAGGAGGTTTGCCAGCGCCTTCATTATCGCTGTCACTGGATCTGTCCCGGCTCTTATGTCAGCCAGGACTTGCGTGCCGACCTCGATGGCAATACCAACCAGACGTTGGATTGCATCTGCTGTTTCGAGGCCGGTGGTGGGTGTTCTCCTATAAGAAGGCGTTGGCAATTGTCTCGGGGGTTGGGGCTCCTGGATTTGCTCTCTTTGCTTGTGGGTAGAGCGCGCTCTGTGCGGGCTCTATGTTCTGATAGAGCCCTTTCTGGCATTCTACCCACGCTGGTTGTCTCCCTCGTAATCTGCGCCTTAGAGGCTACTGGTATGGTTGGTGTCGGGGTAGAGGTGACAGCCTGAGGAGGCTGCGACTTCTTCCTACTTCTCTCCCGCCTCCTCTTCTTGGAGGGTTGCCGTTCAGTGGCAGGATTGGCGGGAGGCTGTAGAGTCGCCCCGGTGGTTGCCCTGGTCATTGTGGGTTCCACCGTTTCCTGGGATGTTACGGGTGGGGGGGGGGGGGGCTGGTTGCCTGCCCTTCCCGGTGATGGTGGTCCACCCGTCCTGTTGAATTGTAACAGCTTTCGGGCGACTCTGAGGGGCCTTTTTGGGTGCCTCCGGGAGTAGTCCCGGCAAGGTTATCCCCTGCCTCCTCGCAGTCCTCCTCAGGACTGGACAGCGGCGGTCATTTGCCGTGTGGTTTTTACCACAATTGGCGCATTTCGGTTCTTCTTCTCTACCCCGAGGGCAAAGGCTTGCTATGTGCTCCCCGGCACAGCGCACGCATCTCACTGGCCTGAAGCAGTTGGCAGAGGCGTGCCCGAAGGCCTGGCATCGGTGGCATTGGGCTGGTCCTGCCTTTCTTTGCCAGGCCTCGATGACAACCCCTCTCATGTAGAGGAGCTCGTCGATGTTATATAGTTCCTGGAGCTGCTCCAGGCTCAGGTGGTCCAGTTGGGCAAAGTAGACGCAGCCAGGTCTGCTTCTACGCGGTGGTATTGCCTTCACGTATTTTATGGGGAAGCCTTTTGCCCTTATGGCCTCCTCTATTGCTTGGGTATCCGTGCCCATTGGTAGACCCCGGATGCCCACTTTAGTGGGCTTATCCTCCTCCGGGGGTTGTAACAATACCACGACAGTGATGGTGTTTTCTTTGTTAGCTCAACCATATACCGCTGTACTGTGCGGAATTCATTAGCACTTTGCGGTGTAAATCTTACGCCTTTCCCAAACGGACGGGCATTTATGGGGTGGCCCAACATATTGTTGAGCTCCTTGAAATGCCTCGTCCAGTCTGGTAGGCATTCAGCCACTATAGGTGGGTAACGGCCCTTCTCCTGGTCGGCTGGCTTCACTGTAGGCGCTGCCGCCGGTGGTGGTCGTGGTACTGCTGGTGCAGCTACCATATGGGCATAACTGGTAGATGGCCGTTGGCCATCGTCCTGTGGGAGCCCAGGATTTGGGGCTTGAGGCTATCGGAGGACAATTGGGAGCCAACCCGTTGCCTCTTCTCATATAAAGAGGCTTCCGTTTCCGGGGGAGTATGACGTCTCGCCGTTTTCTTTGCCCGCTGCTGCTGGGGCGACGGTTCCTGCCTAACCGTGTGCTCAGACACGGCCGGCGTGAGCGCGACGCCCGGTGCGGGCTCTTTCCGTGGCGAGACGGGTTTGCGTTGGGGGATCTGTGAAAAGGAGGACACAACCCTCGTGCGTTCCGGGTTCGACAGATCCCTCACAACCAGTGGTCGATCCAACACACCTTTTCGGTCCGGTGGTTTTCTAGATGGGGGGGGGAGGTTCCCCCTTTTTCTTATCGGACATAGGTAATCAACTAACGGCCCTGTCTAAATAAGATATGCGAGATGGTGACTTTCCACACTTGGGGCACTGCCTACCCCTTTTGCCAGCAAAAGGGTTGGGGGAAGTGCGACGGTGGCACTTTATGACGCGACTAGGCACAGGATGCTCGGAGCGCATAAAGTGCCAAGAATCACCTAGGGGCCGGTGACCTCGACGCCTCACGGAATCACGGGACTCAACGTTCGGCGGAGTATGTCGTACCGGCGGTTATTTGCAGCCACTGTATACTGCAAGTAACGCACACCTAGGAGATCCTACCTGCCTGCGGGTGTAGCGGCCTGTCTCCTGGTATCGTTTCAGTGAATACTGCATTGAGGACCGTGGTACGTTAAGCACAATAGTAACTTCACGCTGTGTCAGCCCTTGGTCAATTAATGCTACTGCTTGTGCAACTTGCGCTGGTGTTAATGGCATTTTTATTGGCTTTAAAGCACCTTTAGTTATTTAATTAAGACACAAGATCACAATAATTGAATAACCTTACAGTAAACTTTTCACAACACACAAATTTAAAATGTGAACTTAGTCGCTCAAATGACCCGATTCAACTAAAAATTACAGAATTCGTCATGGTGCACTTAAACATAATGAATTACCCTCTTGAACTTGAGGGTAAACATTTTTTGACATACTTGCATAACAAACATTCATCAGAAACACTTAAAGCTTTTGCTATCGCGAGATAACCGCTTGGCCAAGTTTCCGTGCCGGTGAGTGTATTAATTTCTATGCCGTCTCCAACACAAAACTTAAAGCAATTTTTATTAAATAAACGAATATACAATAACTTAAATATAACTAAATTCAAAAATGAAATTTCTAATATAAATTGGGATGACATAGGCCGGCCATAGACGGACCGCATGTTGCAGTCGAAACCGACTGCAACATGCGGTCGCCGCACGGCGATCTGCGGTTCCCATACTAAATTCATATCCGCAATACACGGACCGCTCGAGCAGTTCCTGAGCGGTCGGAGCAGTCGCTCTGCGGGCGAGTTTCGCAGTGCGGTCGACTGCTTAGAGCTGCCGGACCCACAATACACGGACCGCTACAAGCGGTTGCTGCCGACCGCGCGCCACTCCCTCCCCGCTTCCCTCCCTTCCTCTCGGCAGGCAACCGGTTCAGTCCGCTTGCGCCTCACTCCCCCTACAAACCTCACGCACTCGACTCGCTTCCTTTGTTTATGTTGGTCGATTGTTCGTTTGTCATCCAAAATGGCGAAAGTTCTCGAAAATATAGACGACGAATTGTTTATTAATGAAATTAAAGAAAACGAATGTATCTGGAACTACAGCAGTGAATTGAACAGTGACAAAATAAAGAAAGATGGTGCATGGAGAGCCTTATGCGAGAAATTTGATCCTGATTTCAACGAAAAAAGTGTAAAGGAAAAAAATGATATTGGTAAGTAGGTACACATAATTTTTTATTAAATTTTAGCTGTTTAGCTCAAATCTTATTTCTAGTAAACAATCTTAAAGCTGTTATCCGCGGTTTCTTTCCATAATATGCTTGTTATAGTTATATGCTATACTAATTTCCATTGCCAATCTAATTGTCCTTCTTCACTTACGAAGTAGTCAGCGAATTTATCCCGGATAGAGTTCAGCGCTGGTCCTCCTTGCTGGACGTTTTGTTGCAATGCTTGGTCTTCAAAACCCGTTATTGTCAAACAATCTTCGAAGTTGTAGCCGTCTCTTTCACGCACAAAGTTGTGAAGAATGCAGCATGCTTTGACTATCGTTTTAGATAATTCAACGGTTTAAGGGCCGATGGATTATGCGCCATTTGTTAGAAAGTATGCCGAAAGTGCATTCGATGTATCTTCGGGCCCGAGACAGTCTATAGTTAAAAATTCTTTTTTTTATTGGCAATAGTTTTCCTCCAAAAGGTCTCATAATATTTTCTTGTAAACCGAAAGCTTCGTCGGCGACAAATACGTTAGGCAAAACTGGACCTGTTGTTGTTATTTTTGTAGGAGCAGGAATGTTCAGCGTGTTTCTTTGTAGTTTTTTGTAGAATTCAGTGTCTTCAAATACTGTCGAGTCAGCGTGTCTTCCATATGATCCAACATTTATGAAAGTGAATTTATAGTCACTGTCACAGACGGCCATCAACACTAAAGAAAAATAGTGTTTATAATTATAGTACAAGGAACCGCTATCAGTTGGTTTTATAATTCTTACATGTTTACCATCGATCGCCCCCAAGCAGTTTGGAAAGTTGGCGCGTCTTTGGAAACCACTTTTTATATTTTTCCAGTTATCTTGGGTTAGTGCTTCAAAACAAATATCTTTCATATACTTCCAAATATTTTCGCACACGTCTTTCACTATTTCCCCTATTGTACATGCCGAAATTCTATAGTTGTATTCTAATTCAGCGAAAGTGCACCCTGTTGCCAAGTATCTGTAAAAAATTTTTTTTTATTTCCAGCAAAAGCTCTTCAAAAGAAGTGGAAAGTGTTAAGAGATGGCTTTAGACGTTATGTCAATAAAACAAAAAAAAATTAAGAGTGGCTCGGGAGCTATTAAACTACGACAGTATGTTTACTATCATCAGTTGTCATTCTTGTTGCCATTGACGGAGGAGAAAGCTGGTACTGCAGATAGTTTGGAAAATGAATCGACTGAAGATGCAGTTACTGAAGAGAAAATACCACAGCGTGGTCGTAAGAGGACTAGTACGTCCAAAGAAGACAATTTAATTACACAACTGGCGATAAATTTGAATAAAAAATACAACGAAACTACATTTGATGATAAAACCGATGATGACAAATTATTTGTTATGACTCTACACGGTGACTTTAAAAAAATTTCTGACGACTACAAATTAGATGCTAAGACAGACATACTGAAAGTTATAAAAAAATACAGTGTTATCCTCTGACGTCAATTTATATTCTAATCAGACCTCATTATGCTCGCAGTTTAACTATCACCAGCCCTCATACTCGCAGTTCAGCCATCAGTCATCGTCATCCTACTCGCAGCCAAGCTATGATGATTTTAGTAGTGGCTACAGTACTGGACCTCCTCAAGCATCTACCAGTCGACCACTACAAACTGATATCACCATTGGCTACAGCATTGGAGTTCCTCAAGCATGTACCAGCCGACCACTACAAACTACGAGACTTGAAGAAACAGATGTTTTGTCTCCTGCTGATACTGAAGCATCGCAGTCGTCGATACATAGCATTTTCTGATAATTTGAAATAATACACTGTAATGTTGCGTATAATAAAATTTGTGTAAAAAACATTGTTTCTTACCTTAATGTTACTGCGATCCTTTCTTCAGGTGCAATGCTTTTTCTCATTTTGGAATTTGTCCGTTGTATTTTATGGCTTAAAATACTAACTAATTCATCAAATGAAACCACGGACATTCTAAAATAGTTGAAAAACTTTTTAGCGTCTTCTCTCAGCTGGGGATACAAAGTATGAAATATTCCATGCTGTTCTCTTGATTGTAGTATTGGACGCACCCACATACTACGGTGTCTTCTACGCCTACGCTTGCGTAATAGTAGTACAAGAAGCAGCGTTTCTTCATCGAAATCCATCTTGTAAATGAACTCGCATCAGTATTATTTTGCGGTCGAACACAACTGCTCCAAGCAGTCGTAGTCGACTGCATTATGCGGTCGTGTTGCAGTCGTGTACGACTTCAACGCTACCGCTCTAGAGCAGTCGGTCTCGACTGCAACATGCGGTCCGTCTATGGCCGGCCATACTTAAACCTAATAAAAATGTAAATGAGAATTGTAACATATTTACTGAAATCTTACAAAGAGCTTAAAATAAATGTAATCCAAAAATCCAAATAAAAATAAAAAATTCTCCAAAGAAAAATTATTTAACAGTAGGATTAAAAACATCGTGTCGCTATAAAAGATTTTTAAAGTTATTGGTTTCCAAAACCAAAAATGAAAATTTTAAATATCATTATAAACAGTATTGAAAAATATTAAAAAAAAAACCATCAATTTATCCAAAAAATTATGTAACAAATATAAATTTGAAAATTCTCAAAATAAAACTAAAACTATGTGGCAAATCATAAATAACGAGACTAACAAAAATTCACGAAAATGTAGAAATGTTCAACTAAAAATAACAGATAAACATATATCATGTGATCCTAATATAGTAGCGAACTTATTTAATACCTTTTATGCATCTATAGGAAATTTACACTCAAATAACTGCAATTTAAATAAAACAACTTTAACAAAATCCATCGAAAACACTCTGTTCTTAAGCCCAGTAGAAACTAATGAAATGAATACCATAATAAGAAATCTCAAAAATAAATCATCCTACGGCATTGATGAAATGACTCCTATTTTGATTAAAAGTTGTGCTGATTTGTTAACAATCCCCTATACAATATTGGTAAATCAATCTTTTTCAGAAGGTATCTTCCCAGATGCCCTCAAAATATCTTTAATCAAACCCTTGCATAAAAAAGGCGAAACTACTGACATAAATAATTATCGACCTATAGCTCTGTTACCTACGTCTGCTAAAATATTTGAAGCGGCTTTGGCGAAACGTCTTTGTTCATTTTATGAAAAATATAAAATTTTGCATGTGAACCAACATGGCTTTAGGAAAAACCACTCCACCACCTTAGCAATTTATAAATATGTAAAAAACATCCTAGACAAAATCGACGATAAAAAAATCGCAGTAGGCCTCTTGCTCGATATGAGTAAAGTCTATGACAGAGTCTGTTATAGAACTCTATTGGATAAACTGTATCAAACAGGAATTAGGGGAATATCTCATAATTGGTTCAAATCCTATCTTGATAACCGCTTCCAATATGTAGAAATTGAAAATACCGACTTCAAGATAGGCAAAATTACTCATGTCAGATCGGATGCAACTCTCATTACTGGCTCTGTCCCTCAAGGTAGCGTTTTGGGTTGTATTTTGTTTCTTATTTATATAAATGATCTCCCAAACATACTGGACGATCTATGCGTGCTCTTTGCAGATGACATCTCCATCTTAATCTCTTGCACTAATTCCACAGATTTAACTACAAAATTGAACTATACATTAGATAAAATTACTGGCTGGCTACAATTACATAATTTACAACTTAACCTTAATAAAACTAAAATTATTCAATTTAAACCCTATCAAAAAACTGGTTTACAAATATCGTTTAACTATAAAAATACACATTTGAGTTGGAAACAGCACGTACAAAAAGTTGCAAAAAAATATCCTCATTTATTTATGCACTGCAACACCTTAAACGTGTGACAGATTTTAAGACTGCCCTTGCGGCTTACTATGCACATGCTCACTCCGTACTCTCCTATGGCATCATCTTGTGGGGAAACTCTTGTGATGTAAACAAATTATTTATATTACAAAAGAAGTGTCTACGAATATTGATAAATTTGGACAAAATGGAGTCATGTAAACCCCACTTCATTAAAAATAAAATTTTAACACTTACATCTATCTACATCCTCGAATATTGTAAATTTTTTAGGAAACACCCAAAACTCTACTCACCTATTAAAAAGACTAAAAGAAATAATAGAAATTTATATAAGCTTAAGATACCCTTCTCCAAATTAAAATTAGTTTCAAACAGCCCTCACGTTATGTCAATAAAGATTTATAACCATTTACCGAATTCCATAAAAATCCTGGAAAATCCTGTGCAATTTAATAAACAATTAAAAATATTTCTTATTAATAAATGTTACTATAATTTAAATGAATTTTTTGACGATAAATAACGATAAAGTAAGAATACTTAGACTATACATTGTCTTTCAAATTAAATTAATTTATATAAAATAATATTGAATGTTGATGATATGATAATTTGTAATTTATGTTTAAAAAATTAGATAATACGAAAATAGTTAGCCCTCTAGTGCAGCTATGCCCATGCGGGGCGTCACATGTATACCTATCAAAATTGTACCATCTTAAATTTGTAATGTGACATGCAATAAACAATTTGAATTTGATGAATCGTGTGTGTTTCGAGAATCTTTTAAACTTGCTTTTCTTTCTATTATTATTACTGTTACGCGCCTAAGTCGACGTCATGTACCCGGCACTAGCGCCATCTAGTGTCAGGGACGAGAGCGAGGGGAGCTTTCCAGAAAATGACATCACTAATCTTTTAACCGACAGCGCCATCTAGTCTCGAAACGAAGAACTAAGCTTCTAGAAGCTGACACTCGAACTCTCGACGCCTTGTGCGTGTTTACTTGAATATTCTGGATGTTTCGGTGCTAATTTGTATTTATAGGCGCTGCAAGATGCGATCGGGGAAGTATTGAATTCGGCGAGACAAGCGAAGCTTCGGAGCGGAATAAAGTGAATCAGTGTGATTAATTGTTAGTGTTTTAAGTTTTAATTGGTGTAAAGAAAATTAAAGTGTTAATTTAGGTAATTCTATCGGCAATTTTTATTGTCACGAACCTCAAGCTCTTAACATTACTTTTACGTCCCTGATGTTGTCCCCCTTTTTGTAATAGGTTTCCAGTTGTTTAAAATCGTATAGACTCCAGTCTTCAGCCAACTTATGTACTTTGCCGTGTTTAGTATAAATCTCTTGGTAAGTTTCTGGGTTCAAAATGAATGGTTTTTCTTAGATTTTTTCAACTCTGCCAAACACCTTATCAGCTGGCTAGAAGCTATGACCTCTCACGGGGAATGTTAAAACGATTTTAGCCACATTTGCCGGGTCGTAATTTTTTAGCCAAAACATTAACATGCACTACGTGGGAGTTTTTGTTTTGCCCTCCGCATCCATCAGCAAAAAGGCGCAAAACTTCAACTCCCGATAAATCGGCAGAATTCAGGTACATCAAAAGAGCAGACGCTATTTCTGTAGATCCTTTTCTGGCCTGATTTTCTGTCCAAATAAAAAATGTGGTTCTTTAGCAGGAATGTCTGTAACACAAAATGAATACAGTCCGGTTTGCCTCAAATAAAAAGATTCCTGAATGGGCGTCTTTGGAAGGCACTGTATTTGTTGAAGGTCGAATGTCAAAGAATTTGCTGCGTTTGTTCAAAAAATCTTTTAGCTCTTATTTTGTGAACACGAATCTGTACTCTTAGTGATTGAAGTTCTTGGGGATCTTTTTCGATTTTTTGTTTATTTTTCAATACTTCACACGTGCTGCAGACATCGCATGATGGAGAAGAGAACCCAATATTAAAATCATTTTCAAAAACACGTCGAAACATTGTTTCGGTCACTTTAAGATCATCATCAACGCCGGTGTTGTACAATCCCCACAGTTTTCTTATGTTCAACTCGTAAGAAAGATAAGCACGCCTCGATTTTTTTCTATTATAATGTGATTCTTTAGCTGGCAATGCATCCAGAAACTTTTTCACACTCTCTTTTTTCTCTAAACTTTGAGCGCTTTTGCGATCGCCGCCTCTGTTGTCATGGGGCGTTTTCCCTTCATATATTTTATTAGCAATGGTATTCACTCTGTGCTTCCCAAGACCTAATGCAGCTAAGAAAAACTTCTTGCACACTTTAACAATACGTTTTGAATCTCTCAAAAAAAAAAAGAAAGTCACAAAGTATTTATTTCTCTGAGGTTTCATAGATGTGACCCTCGATCGTTCCCTCACAATTGGACACGGTGTTATAAATCGCACTAGGTATACATCTTGTTCATTTTTGCTAGCTTTCTCATACAACAACTTGCGGTTATATACAATTTCGTTAATTGTTAAAGTTTGGCATTTAAATTTCCCCTTTTTATGATCACACACTGATTCAAAGTTCAGAGCAAGAGGGTCATTATCTACGTACCTAAAACAAAATGAATCAGGTTTGAATTGAAAAACATAACCTAAAATTTGCAGTAATGTAGGTAACCAAATTTAAAATAACACTTTGTATTCCTACTCTTTGAAGCAGCCCGTTCCTTTTTTTTCCTTTTACGAGTGCCGTCATTGATATCAGCTACAGTTGACTTGTTTTCTTCCATTTTTAAAAAGCAAAACTTCAATTACAACCTTTTGACAACAAAATTGTAACAGCTGATTTAACTTTTTTATTGAAAATAGTTGCCGTAATTAAATAAGTGTTCCCACGTAAAAATATTGGTTAAATTAAATGGACAAGTCACAGTTTGAAAATCCATTAACATTAAAATACTTGTATTATTTTTGTCTGGGTTTGATTGAAAACCGAAACAAAGGGAAATTTTATCTAACTTTAAACAGGGCAAGTCCGTTTTTGTATACAAAAGCAAATTTAGAAGTTATTTTTCTATGAGAAAAAGCTGGAATTGATTGAAAATATTTCGGCAATGCAAAGATGTTTACTTTCTAAGGTATAAAGTACTATAAAAAAAAATTACTGATTGTATGGACAAGCCCGCATTTGTTCGCCAGCTCCTCATTTTATGTTATTATATTAATACAACTATTTGAATGAATCAATAGTCGCTATGCATAAAACGAAACAGTCGAGAGGAAGCGAATCGATCCAAACAGATGTTTGGATCGACTGCGATCGCCGCAAAAAAAAGATTGGGCTTGTTAAGTTATGTTATTGGGACTGGGATTTGGATCGATCTTTGTATAGGGTATAATCTCGGATTGTCTTTGATCTTAAAACAGAGATACGTTATTAAGTTCGGGCGTAAATTATTGTTGAAATAATCGGCCCTCAAAATACAGTGCATTAAATGGAAGTCCCCGTACATCGGGTCCTTCTGTTGATAGAGATTCTGTGAAAAAATTAACAAAATCTGGTCGAAACGAATTGTATTGTGCCAGTTCAAGCCGGGGTAAATGACTGCGACTAGCAAAAGGTTTTTGTAACTACAAAATCGCGCTAAACCATCCGTGCCGCCTGGGTAAAATAATGGGTAAGCAAATGGCTCGACTCGCTTATCAATATTCTTTAAAAAGACAACGTTTTTATTGCGCTGGTGAACAATCGTTTTATTTTCTGGAAATCTTTGATCAGCATTTAACAAACCTCATTACACGCCGGTATATTAAACCTTTTGCGATCAGATTGATCTGGAAGTCTATAAAAGCTTTACGTATGGTGGGGGTAACCCTTGGACAGAAGTTAACCGATTAATTTCGTCCTCTATTTCTCACGTCATTATATATCCCTGTACGTAACGATTTTGCGCTCGAATAATGAACTCCAATAACTTCATTGTTGGGGTAGTAATTCAAGAAGTAAGTGGATGGTTAACTCTTTCATTAACGGCTTCATCAGGATCTAAAATGTATAGTTGCCCGTACAGTGGCCGTACAAAGACACCAACATCATTTTGCGACGGCTGAGCATATTATATTCATTTTATGATATACTTGTCCGCAAACGGTAAAACTGCATTGAAGGATGCTAGAGCAAAAGATGCGTTTATCTTTCTTATTTTTTTTTAATGAAACGGGAAATGTGTGTGACGGTTTAAAAAGAGACGTACTAATTCATTAAAATTTTTTTTTTACTCCATTAAAATTCGTCCACGCAAACAACAGTCACCAAACGAACTTCTATTTATACGATTAGAAAAGCGTTCCTCAGGGAAAATCAATGCACCACAATGGATACACAACATTTCAAGTGGTCCTAAGGTGTGATATTGCACAGCTGCAGTAACGGCACATTTATATGTCGGTAAATATGAAGTTATAAAGCCCTACGACTAGCGATTGGTAAGCACTCAGTATTTACTCAAGCCACTGAGTAAATACTGGGTATGTATTTCGTTTTTTGAATAAGTATTTACTCACTGGACAGAGTAAAAACTATTTTCATTATTTTAGATAATAATTACAATTAAACAAATCAAAAACATTACAGAATGACGAAAAATACTTACTAACCCTTTATAACTCAATGAAATATTATTTAATAAAAAGTAGCTGGAAGAGGTAGAGGAGTAGGTAGAATTTGGAAAATAAGAAAACACGTATTCTGTAATTTTCATTTTTTTTATATTTATCTCACAAAATAAAAATAAAGGGAGTGTGCCATTACGCGTACATTGCTGCAATGTGTCCCACTACAAAGTATGGAACGTTTTAAAACAATTGTTTTGTTTGTTGTTGCATAATACAACTTCACACTTTTCACAAATGGTCTGTGATTTGCCAGAGCAATTAGGGAGCTTACAACGGATACGTTTTTCGACCCATACTGGCCAGTGATCTACTTGGTCTTGGCGCATAGCTGCTGGAGGTACGAATTGAGCTGGACCCTTGCGCTTTTTAGCCTGGAAGTCTGGTTCAATACTTCTGATTTTATCCCCATCTTACATAGAATCGTACCAATCTCTTCACGAAAGTCAGCAGATGACAGCAGTGGTCCATTCGTATTCTTGTTCTTATATACCCTCTTGTACAGTAACCAGGCATTGGACATGGCAAGGTCCAGGAAATGGTAAAACATTCGAACCTGCCATCTCTTGCTTCGTAGTTTTATTTTATATCTACCCATTATACCATCAATGAGATCGATACCGCCCACGTGGCGGTTGTATTATCCCACCACGTTTGGTCTATCAATGGTCACATACCTCTTGTGGGGCTTATCGTATCTAGATACTTGTGACTTGGGTAGTTCGCCCACAAAACTGGAGGCAAGTGTGACTATTTTATTGTCCTTCCAGGCCACTGTAGAAATATCTGTTCCTTGGACACAGGCTACATACTCGACTGAATAGCCACGTTCTTTTTTGGAGATTTCTTTTTCTGCGGGTAGTTTGCAATCAGGTATTCGGTTGCGTCGAATGGTTCCCAAGCTCAATATTCCTTGTTTAGCGAAATATTCTAGTAGTAGCAGGGATGTGAAGTAGTTGTCAAAATATAGGCGGTAATTTTGATTGTGTGATATTTCACGAGCTAGCCTGAAGACGACATTTGCTGCAGCACCCAGATTCGGCTCATTGGGTCCAACTACATTTTCAGCTCCAGTTTCTGGCTCGAACTTGTAAGCAAACCCGCTCACGCTGCTCAGGACATAGATTTTGTAGCCCTATTTATAGGGTTTCTTAGGATTGTATCTCTTGAGGTTGTGTCTAGCTTTCGTGGAACAAATCTGTTCATCCATGCAGACATACTTCTCGAACGGGACATTGAGGCAAGTTTCATTAAGTTTCGACACAATTGGCCTTGAACTATTTTCGAGTTATCGTTGAAGTGAATAAATCGTCTGATTTTTTCGAATTTTTTTACCGGCATTGTGTCTTTTACTAGAGGTGTTCCTAAACTACTACTCCAATGTTTCGTCACTCTTGGCAGATGTACTAACGACATAATGAAAACCAGAACAATAAATTGCTGGATATCCGTCTCTGTGACCCGGAATGTCATGTTAGTATCTTTTTGCACAATGTAAAGGTTAGTTTGGTTGGCTATTTCTACAAAAAGTTCCTTGGAAAATATTTTGATAAAGAACTGTACCGGACTATCAAGTTCTAGAAACTCTGCTGGCAAGTCTTCGTCACCTGTAAAGCTGATTTGCTGCTCATTTAGTTGGAGGTTCTTTTTTTTCCAACGTAAATTCAATTTTTGCTTGGCTTGACTGCGTCCTGATGATCCAGGTCTAGATGATGGTCCTGGATGAGGAAAGGTTTCAGAAGGAGTTGGCGGTTGCGAAGTACTACTTGAATTCTAAATATTTTCAATGATGGTGTCAATGTTCACTCCATCAACCTCTTCAAAATCATCGGTGTCCATTGGCACCTCCAAATCCGGAACAAAATCAGGATCTGCAATGCTGTCGTCATCACCATCGAATCTGTCTTCACTTTCTGCATAATCAAAGAGGAACTTCTTTCTCTCTTTGCTCGTCTCCTAGACCTCTGGATGCCATCCTGTCGCAATAATAAAAAGTGCTCAATGTATGACAGTAAATGTGCTTAGTAACACAATGTGCCAGAACTGGCACAAACACAAAACGGCAATTATATTCAATAATTACATAGTAATATTCAATATCTACAATAAATACCAAATAACATACACTTACCTAGTAAATTCACACCACAAACAAACAGATTTCTCAGTTTAAATAATTTTCATCTATTTTCAAAACTTACTAAACAAACGTATTTTACGAATCGTCAAATTGTTTGATTCAAATTCTTTTGTGTTGAAAAAGCGCCATCTGTGGGGTATGAACAATACTAAACATTGACGCGCGATATGTTCCAGAGCGGGAACACTGTATATTAACCGAAAAAATAATTTGCTTTAGATTTTATATGGAGAAATTTGGTATGTTCCAGTACTGTCCCACGGTGATATAAAGGGTTAAAAAGACATAATTGAACAGAAGGCCTACTCTCTTTCTCCGAAACGAAACTTCGTTATCGAACGAAATTTAAACGAAGTTTCGTGTCTGACCCTACTCTATATCATTTTCGGACGCGCACGCAAAGTTCGAGTCCATACACAATTTTCGTGAACGAATGGAACGAACAATGTTATGTATTTTAGGAATTTATTAATATAATCGTGGTTTTTTATGCATATTATTCCAGAAAATCTTACATAAGCAATAAATATACAAGTTTTCGAAGAAAATCACAGTGACACTAAAATAACCCTTTCAATGACCGTTAACCGACTAAGTTAAGGTGTACAATAATAACAAACGGTGTTTATAGTATCATATAACAACCAAACTTATCCGTATTATCACAGTGCTGCCAGTCATCACTTATGGATTTTTTGTTTGCATTCTTTGAAAGTTTGAATAGTTTTAAGTTTGTTTCTCAAGCTCAAGTGTAAGACGTAGGTAGAGATTATTTCCTGTGTGCTCAAGTGAAGAGTTATTAATATGTTTTGTTTTTTTCTTTGCCTACTTTGCAAACGCGATACACATTCCCTGACAGTTTCAATTTCAAGTCGCAGTCTTCATATGGGCGTCCTTTGGTCCACAAAGACTTCCATTTGGTTTAATTTGGTTTTATATTCAGAAAGAGTGTAATGTTAATTGTTTTGCACTTATAATACTTCCATAACATATTTTTTTGTAATAATAGGTACCTATAATTTATTTTCATCTCATCTTTCAGTGTAAAATAATGGCTCCACATACGGGTTCGGCTACTCCTGAACAAATTGATGCACTCCTCAATTTCCTGGACGAGCATTTAGGGATCTTGCTCGCGGGAGATTGAGGAGTCTAGAAGGAAAAGTCCAGTCGAAGAGGCTGTGGGATGAATTGTGCAATACGCTCAATTCCATGGGCGGTTGCACAAAGACAGTTCAGCAGTGGCAAAAGGTAATTCGTAGTAATATAATTAAATGCTTAAGCTATTTATCAGTGAAAAGTGAGTGACAAAGATTTAATATTTACTTTTATTTTGGATAGGTATGGTTTGATAGAAAACATCTGGCCAAAAAAGCCGCTGCTGATTCCCGGAGGTCGGCTTCAATGACTGGAGGTGGTCCATCGGTGGCACCCCAACTCTCCCATTCGGAGTTAAAAGTCTTATCCATAATGGGAGATGGGTTCGGTGACCGCCAAATTGGAGCCAGAGTGCCAGCTTTCACTGAAGTAAGTACCTCATCATTCTTTGGTTTCCCTATTTCTAAACTTTGATATGTTCAAATATTTATCTTAATGATATATGATTTTTATTTACAAAATTATTTTTCTATTTGAGTATGCTACTTTTTTTAACCCATCAGGTACAAATACAATACAATTTGTATTGTGGTAGACATTAAAAATTAATGCTTCACTTAAACATTAAGCATTCAATCTTTTATATTCATTTCAGACGAATGAATCCAGACCATCAACCTACAGTCAAGGAAGCCAACTGCAGCAGCAGAGCCTGGACTTGCATGTAGAAGTTGAGGAGTACGCCGACCCAAGCAAAGAAAGCCAGCAGGTCTACTCTAATTCAACGAAAAACGAAATTTCGATCGAAATTGATACACAAGGTATGTATGGATGTATTTGATACATGAAGGTCTTACCACTAAACTATAGTCGAGATTAAAATTACAAGAAAAATATTGTTTGTCACAAAAAATATACTTATTGATTAAGTATTTACTGCAATGTAACATATTGGAATGTTGTTTTCCGATGTCAGAAGCAGATTGTACCAGTATGAAGATGGACGTGCAGATAGAGAGACAGTGAGGAACACCGAGCTCGCAGGCATCAGGGCTGCCTTGGAAGAGTTGCGTGACATAGGGCGAGATTATTTAGAATTTTTAAGGCAAAATAGGCGTTAGGTTTTAAATAAATTTATTTTAGAATACTATTGTTTCTTTTTACTATTTTTGAGACTATTTGTACTTTCAGATTAAGAAAGCTAAAATAAGAACTTTATTATTACTGATAGTTGATTATCATGGCCATAATTCGATATAATATAAAGATACTGTTAAGTATTTAAAATCATAGAAGTTATTATTTTCTCTGTATGTGACAAAATATCTGCAATGTCATAGGTAAGGATTAAGTAAATATTTGTTGCCATTTTATGAACATCTAGGTAGGTAGGATAACGATAAGTAGGTGAAAAAATAAAACAGAACTAATTTTATGCCTAAAAATATTTTAATCTAGGCTGTTACAAGCACTTGTGAATGTCAAAGAAGCTACGCCATCGGTTCTCAAACCCTAAGCGGGAGACCTTGTAACGAGAAGAACCGGCAAGAAACTCGTTAAGGGCTGATTTTTTTCTCCTTGTATATTTCATACAGAGTCATCAAATTTGTAAAATGACCTTTAAGGTAATGTAATTTTCCATCACAAAAATTAACAAAAGTTTACATACAATGGGTAGGTATTGAAATTAATTATCTACACATCGGATAGGTAAGAGCAAATAACTTTCAACTAGTTGAGAAATCACTGTCTACTAGATACCTACTCGAAAATTCATACCTAAATAGATAATGTTGTACAATATGCAATATTAACTAAATTCATTAGACATAAAAGTTAACATTAAAAAAAACGCATTGCTTACAATTATAACAAGATAAGAAGAAGTGTATGTTTTAGGTAAGAAGTGAGTGCCATACATTTCAGTAATATTAATTCCTAATCCTATAATATTATAAATGAGAAAGTATGGATTTTGATTGTTACTTAATCACAAATAAACGGCTTAAATGTGGCTGATATGATGATGATGATGATTATCTCCTAAAACAAAAAAAAGTTTGTAATTGAGTTTATTTTAATCTACTTGCACAATTGTTTGGTTTGAGTTTATCTTACCGGTTCCTTTCTAACATTTGTATTAATGAATTCCTTGCCCTTCGACCTGCCTGTAAAGCTTGAGTAGAAGATGCGGCTGTTTCAAAGGGAACCTGGCTGGTTCCCTCCGATTGGTGTTCCTCTTCAGTCAACTCGGGACCTTCAATACCAGCCCTTATACACATGTTGTGTAAAACACAGCAGGCTAATATAATTTTACCTGCTGTTTCTGGGCAGTAATGGAGTTCCCTAGCTGCCAAAAGACATCTCCATCGACCCTTCAATACACCAAATGTGCGTTCTATGGTGCAGCGTGCACGTTTTTGGAGGTAATTGTACCTCCCTCTGGAGAGTTCTCAACAGCATTATCTACAGGTGTCATCATATGCTCCCTTAGAACATAACCAGAATCACCTAAAAATTTAAAAATATAATATTAGTGTAAATTGCATCATCACATTACTTATACATAATGAATATCAAAACTATAAATCAAGACATGCCTAATAGATAAACTGTTTCATCCTGGAGACCCTCCAAGTGGTTTCTTATCTCACATTCCCTCCAAATATAAGCGTCGTGAGTTGCTCCACCATATGAAGCATCAACATTTGTAATTAATAAATCACTGTCACATATCTGAAAAAGAATTTCCATCAATGTAACATAGGATAAAATGTAAGTAATAAAATAGTGAATGTCATAATAAAAACATTAAAATATTGTTCATAAACTTACAACTTGAGTATTAATCGAATGAAAATGTTTTCGATTAAAATATTGTTCCTCGTGCTCCGAAGGCCTCACTATGGCTACATGTGAACAATTGATGCACCCCACCACAGCGGGTAGCCCATATTTATCATAAAATCTACAATAAGGATACAATATTATTATACAATAGTAAATTGTGCAATAAAATTATATTTGTTTTTGCATGACTTATTTGCCTAGGCTTGGCACACTTTTTATGTAAATTGTTCATTTAAAATAACAGAATAATATTTTAATTACTAGGTATTTCACATGTTAATAAGTTTAACGGTCAATACTAGAAAGAAAGGTAGTTACTTCCGCTTAATAAGATTCCTTTCATTCCTGTTTTGTGGGAATCTTATGTGCTTCCTTAGTATGTGGGGTGCATTAAGTGCAGTTGTTACCTCTTGTAAACAACGGGACACTGTCTGTTGTGCCATGGGCCCATCCATATTTTGTCCCACTGACCCCTGGTAAATTCCTCGGGCATAAAAGTTCAAAGCAGTAAGTATCTGAAATACATTATCACAGATTGAGGCTTATGAACAGTAAAATGAAAAATTAAAGAGAAGGGAGTGTTTAAACAATTTAAACTTACTTTAAGTGTGGGCTCGATTCCATGTCGTCTTCCCTTTGGAGGCAATAAAGGCACTATGCCCTGGCACAACTCCTCGAATAATTCCCGACTGAGTCTGTAAATTCCGACAAACTCTAGGTCGGGAATATTTGAAATATTTAATTGATTACGCAGGCGGCGCCGGTTCCTTCTACGCTCCAATCGTTCTTCACGTAAAGCAGCCGCGATTAAAACTGTCTCGTAGCCATTTTAGTTAAATTTTTAACAAAATCGACCAAAACGAAAATAAAAAGTTAACACTTTTGGTTTCGTCAATTTGAGGTTAAAATTACGAACAAGTATCTGTCAAACTTCAATTTTTGTTCGTAACTTTAGTGCAATAGAGTAAGCTTAGAGAATTTAAACGTCAAACTAATTTCGTTTCAACGAAGTTTCGAATCGAATGGAACCATGGTAGGAATTGAGCGAAATTTCGATCGAAATTTCGTTTTTCGTTGAATTAGAGTAGACCTGCAGGTTCGTAATTTTAAGTAAAATTTACTTTACGTATTTTCGTGTTGAAGTTTATCCCAAAAACTAATGCTTAATCTGATTCAAAATTCAAATCTCTGTGCACTCGTCGATGGCTTATCGATATTTAAATACATCTGAATCGGGGGTTGCGTTTTCCTCTTCTTGATTGTTCTTATCATCAATATATTTTTTATTCATTTCCAGTTATATGATACAAAGGAACGAGGCATTCCATCTTAGTCCTCACGGGTGACAACGCATCTGCATCTTGATTCGTAATCGAGGACAGATGTAGATGTCTATGGGCCACAGCAACCACTTACCATCAGGTGGACTGTGTGCTCGTTTGTCACCCTATCCTATAAAAAAAAATTTACCTGCTAGTTGTGTCGTGAGTTGGTTTCTTGTTTTGGAATGTATAAAACTTTGAACACTGAAAGACCGTTCGGTAGCTGCAGTGGTGCATGGAGCTGTAAGAATTCTTGTTACAACTACGCTAATTTCTTTCAAATTGCACAAGCCTTTCCATCACGTGACTGCGCTGATTTTTTTTCTTCAAGGCTTCCTCACCTTTTGGTCCACAATCTAGGTTTAGCTCTGTAGTTTGCTAACTTTGATAAAACCTGTAAATTCATTTGCTGTGACATTTCGAATACCAATTCCATAGTTACCGCGGTTTCTGAATCGGTTGGATGATTCCCTTGTGAATACGGATTTAACAAACATGCTGCTAATTGAATAGGTTTTACAGCATTATGCACTCTGGCTTCACGAAATGATAGCAAATTTTTTTTTACTGCGTCCTATTATCGTGTTCAAAGGTAGAGCCTTATGCAAGTTGATTCTAATATCTCTGAATGCGAAATGTACAAGTTGTATGCTGTCATCATCTTGTAGTATAATGTAAAGGTATAGAGTATAGAAATAAAGTCAGTGTCAAACCAACTGGCGTGTGTTTTATTACGTGGTGGCAGCGGTGGGATTTCAAAAATTTAATTTATTTACGAATCCACCAATAATACGTGTATTTAGTTTATTACAAAGCAGTTTTGTGTGTATTTTATAATAAATATCATGGAACACGCGCGTCCTCCAGCGGAATTATCACTCGAAAGCGGGCCAAAACGGGCCGAAGCGTGGCGTCAATGGCGGCAGCTATTCGAAGTGTTCTTAAAAGCATCTGGAGTGAGCGAAGAGCCTAAAGAGATTCAGGCTACTTTGTTGGTTTACCTCATCGGCTCGGCAGGATACGAGGTGTTCGCGACTTTTACTTTTGAAGAGGGCGAAAGCGAAGACGATATCAATTGCGTTTTGAAGAAGTTCGATAGTTATTTTGGTACTGAACCGAATATAACAGTAACAAGGTTCAAATTCTTCTCGCGCAATCAAGAAAGTGGAGAAAATATCGACCAATATGTGCCCGCTTTGCGAGTACTGAGTTGGCAATGCGACTTCGGTGATTTGCACGAGAGCCTGCTGCGAGATAAAATCGTTTGCGGAATAGTGAATAACACGGTCAGGGATCGATTACTTCGTACAGACGATTTGACATTATCGACAGCGATACAAATTTGTCAAGCGGCAGAAATTACTAAGGAAGAAATTCTGTGTATCGACGGCAACGAGGCGGAGAGCGGTCAGGTGGATGCAGTTCAAGGCAACCGCCGTGGGGCGAACGGTTGGCGCAGCGGCAGGGGCTGAACGCAGACTGCGTCTAGAAAGGGGCGTACGGCGCGCGTTGCAGCCCGCGCCGCAGCCCGCGCTGGCGGCGGCGGAGCCCTGCGCGCGCTGCGGGAGCATGCGCTGTGCTGGCGGCGAAGGTGCCCGGCACGTCAAGCCGTTTTGTGTGTGATAAAAAAGGTCATTTTTCACGGATGTGTAAACAAAAGGGGTGTAGTAAAAAAGGTACATAATTTAAGTTTGGACTCTGCGGAAAATGATAGTGACTCGGAAATGTTCTATGTTGATACCGTATGCGGGGGCAAAAAATACGGTAAGTCGACTAAAGAATGGTTCGAAAGCGTGAAATATAATAACAAAGAACTTTTAGTTAAAATAGATACTGGTTCTATGATGAATGTTAATTCCAAGAGTGAATATTTACGTATTGGCTTATCGATTAAACAACTTCGCCCGTTTTTAAAGAGAGTGTATTTCTTCAGGAAACCGGTTACCTGTCTTAGGCGTAGTAAAACTAAACGTAGTTTATAATAACCAACAATTTGTATTGCCGTTTATTGTCACCGAATGTTGTCAAAATCTACTCGGATTAGAAAGTTGTATTACGATGGGTGTAATTAATTGTATCAATGCCATAAATATTGACAATTATTCGAGTTTGTTTAAAGGGTTAGGCATGTTACCTGGCAAATACAGTATTGTAGTGGATAAAAGTGTTCCACCCGTTATTTCTCCCACTAGGAAAATACCTCTATTTATGAAAGACAAGTTATTAGTGGAGTTAAAACGAATGCAAGGACTCGGTGTTGTTAGAAAGGTCACACATCTGACAGAGTGGGCAAATGCAATTGTTTTAGTGGTTAAGAAGGACGGTAGCTGATGTTCCTCTTTTTGACCCTTTCTTGGGTTTTGAAGGCCTGCGGGTGTCGAGGTTGCCCTCATTACCCGGGTTTCATCGTGTGGGAGGCACGGCGCCCACGGTCTTGGGTACTGCGCTTGGGCGCAGCTTATATGTAGATATTTTGCGTACTTCTCGCCATCTATTCCGGTGTCGGGACTCTCACTCGTCCCCGGCGTCCCCCTCGCCGGGCGGTGAGCGCAGAAGTTCACGTGGGAGTGGTCGCCCGTCAGGTGGGCGCGCGTGTAGTGGTGCTATGTTGTGAAGATGTTGGTGTGGTCTGTTTTCTGCGCGGTCGTACAACCGTCTCGCAGTACGGAACTCAAATTCGTGGATTGATTCCATTTTTAGGTCACGCGCTATGACGTCATTTCTGACGTAACAACCGGCTCCCACGATCGCTCGTAGTGCAAGGTTCTGCTGGGCCTGCATCTTCTTGCTCTTATTGGCTGAGGTTAACGCATACCAGGCTGGTGCTGCGTATGTCAGCCGCGAGCGGACGTAGGTTTTGTAGATCCTATCTTGGTGTTTATCGGGAGTTTGGATGCCAGAATGGGGAACAACTTCGCTCGCGCGGCTCTGGCCTGCCTCACAACGTAGTCGACCTGCGGGTTAATTCACAGCGAGCGATCGATCTATCATCCGAGGTAGGTGATGGTCGTCCTCCAACCTACGTCCTGCCCACGGAGCTGCAGTGTTGGTGGTGTCCTTCTCAGCCTGGTCACGAAAGCGGTGGTCTTCCCGACGTTGACCGCCATCCTCCATTTGTCAAGCCACTCTGGTAGCAGGTCCAGCAGTCGCTGCAACTTCTTTGCAGCGTTTTCTACCCGACGAGATGACGTGAAGTACGCACTGTCGTCTGCATATAATGCAAGGACGACGTCCTCTTCCCACTCTTCCAGCTGGTCTTGAAGTGTGGGGATATCGTTGGTGTAGATCGTGTACAGATGAGGTGATAAGCAGCTGCCTTGTGGCACTCCCGTTTCGATCGGTCGTGCTACCGAAACAGCCCCTTCTAGACTGACTTGAAAGTTCCGCCCCTCCAAGTACGACGCTATTAGCCGCACAAGCATCGGCGGTATGGTGGTGTGTTTGATTAGCTTGTACATCAGCCCTGCGTACCACACTCTATCGAAGGCCTTCTTCATGTCTAGGAGGACCCCCATACATATGAGATCGCGGTTATATTCGGCCGCAAGATAGTGCAGCACGCGGGCCAATTGTGCAGTTGTAGAGTGTGCTCTACGGAAGCCGAATTGCTCCTCTCGTAGAGCGTTGATTTTTTTTTAATAGCTTCGCTATGTGCGGTAATAGCGTTATGGGGCGGTAGCTAGCCGGGTGCCTCCCGTCCTTCCCCGGCTTTAGTAACACGACGATTCTTCCTTTCTTCCAGATGTTTGGAAAGTGGCCAGTGCTTAGTATGCCGTAGGAATCGGGCGAGTTCCACTATCCCTCTTCTTGGCAGCTGCTTGATTGCCATGGTGGTAACTCCATCGAATACCGGCGCTTTATGGGCGGGGAGGCGCATGATAGTGCGCGCTACCTTCGCCGGCGAAATAAAGTCGTTGCGCTTTAATGGTGGTGCCGGGTTCGACAGGTATTCATGTACGCGGTCTTGTATGCTTTCTACATACTCTGTGTACCCCTCCGCTATAGGGTTGGTTTTGACTCAGTTCAGACTTCCAGGTGCTGTGCCATCGTTTCCGCCCTTTTCTGAGCGTTGTATAGCGTTTTCCCGTGTTGAAGGACGGTAGCATTCGAGTTTGTATAGACTCTAGACCGCTTAACCGAGCAGTGTGCCGCGCGCAGTATTCGCTGCCCACAGTGACAGAACTGGCGGTGAAGCTGCATGGCGCGCGGGTGTTCTGCGTGCTCGACGCTCGCTGTGGGTTTTGGATGGTGCAAATTGATGACGCTAGTGCTGACCTTTGTACGCTTAGCACGCCCTTCGGTAGGTACCAATTTTTGCGCTTACCCTATGGCATAAGCTGTGCGCCGGAAGTTTTTCATGCAAAGCTCAAACAACACTTGGAAGACCTCAAAGGTGTCGAATCGTACATCGACGACGTCATCGTGTACGGATCAACTCAGCATGAACATGATCAACGATTAGAAGTTCTTTTAAAGCGTGCCCAAGATGTAGGTATTAAATTTAACCTCGACAAATGCAAATTCAGTGTTCCTGAAACAACCTATTTAGGTCACAAATTTGACGCTAATGGAATGAAAGCCGACGATTCAAAGGTAAAGGCTATATTGGACATGCCTTATCCAACGGACAAAAAATCTCTAGAACGATTTTTAAGAATGGTAAATTATTTATCAAAATTCATTCAAAATTACTCAGAATGTGAATGTGTTGCGGTCTTTATTAAAGAAAGATTCCGAGTGGGTGTGGGAGGCTTACCATTCTGAGGCTGTCGATAAATTAAAAGAAAAAATAGCGAGTGCTCCGGTGTTAGCGATTTATTCGACAGTCGAATTGCCAGTGGTATTGTCGGTGGACACTAGCAGCGTCGCGATTGGAGCTGTGCTTCTACAGAATGAGCGACTGGTAGAATTTGCTTCGCTAACGTTGACGGACACATACTAGATATGCTCAAATTGAGAAAGAGATGCTCGCGACAGTTTTTGCTGTCGAGCGGTTTAGGCAGTACATATATGGTAGATCAGATTATGCAGTTCACACTGATCATAAACCACTGGAAGCATTATTTAAAAAACCGTTAACTTCACTAACGATACGTTTACAGCGTATGATGTTAAGAGTGCAAGGGTCCGATATCAAAGTTGTATATACACCGGGCAAGTATATGTATATTGCGTATACTCTGTCGCGGGCCTCTGGGGGAGTTAATGCAGAACTATGTATCTGATGAGGTTAATGTACAAACCTGTTTTATGCTAAAGAACATACCATTCAGTCTATCAAAAATAGAGTCTATTATAAAGGACACCGAAACGGATAATGACTGTGAATTATTAATAACGTATATTAAAAACGGATGGCTAAAACATTGGTGCGATATGAGTTGAGAGACAACGTTGGTGTGTTTTGGCCATATCGAGAGCAACTGTCGTATGTCGACAGGTTGATTTTTAAGGGTGGCCGTGTGTTCAGTCCACGTAGGTTACGGGAACAAATGTTAAAGCGCGTGCACGAGGGTCACCTGGGCATCGATCGGTGTAAGAGGCGCGCGCACGAAGTGATGTTCTGGCCGATCATGAATGCGGACGTGGAGCGCGTGGCGTGCCGCTGTAAGGCGTGCGCGCTGCACGCGACGCGTCCGCGTCGCCAGCCGCTCTTGCAACATCACGTGCCGGATTTGCCTTGGCAAAAACTGGCTTCCGACATATTCGAATATAAAAGAAAGAAATATATTCTCCTTGTGGACTATTTTCCGAATTATGTTGATGTTGAGGAGTTAGCCGGTTTCAGTAGCAAACATGTTATAAATTTTATGAAAACGCAGTTTGCTCGACATGGTATACCTGTTGTAATAGTGACAGACAATGGGCCGGCCTATAGGACGAAAGAATTTCAGAATTTTTTAAATGAATGGGAAATAGATCACGTTACCTTCCCCCACTATCCTCAGTCTAATGGAAAAAGTGAAAGAACCGTCCAAACTATAAAAAGTTTGCTAAAGAAATATAGCGTAGACTCGGGCCAAGACTTTTTATTTAAGTAATTAAATTTCAGGTCGACGCCTCGACATGGTTTAGATTCTCCGGCACAGATGTTTATGGGGAGACGGATAAAAACTTAACTGCCAATTTCTGAAAAATTATTAAGAGCTCCAGTAGATAACGATCGCAATTATCAATCTTTGATGGCTAATAGAGAAAAAATTAAAAAACAATACGATAAGTCCACGAAGTCACTTGAGCGTTTATCGGTAGGTGATAAAGCTATTTTTTATTTGGTAGGAAACCTGTAGCTCGTGCCGAGGAGCCAAGGTCTTTTATAGTGGAAGATGAACAAGGGAAACGGTTCCGACGTACGCGTAGCCATCTTATTTTACGCTCTAAGGATTATGGGAAACCGAGGTTGTCTCGGACTTCATCCAGTACTGCAGGTTCAGTCCCACATTCTAGACAAAAGTACGATTGCCTTCTAGGG